CATTCTTTCTCTCCCCTTTCTATGCTTTTTTTAAATACAAGTAATAATACATAGTCATTATAGAAAAATAGCAGCATAGAGGAAAATTAAAATTATACGTAATACATTATCGACTTGTTTCAGACTTGGTGTTTGTGTCCAAAAAGTGATCTGGCCACCACAATTTACAGAGATTGTTGGCTTTGTGATTGGCTATATCCTGTGCAGAAGAGGGAGATGGTGTTACTACTTTACCCTGAGGTGATCAAACAGTACCTGGGGTATTGATTTTTAATCCTGGGTGCAAAGCATTAACTGAGATGGGCTCTCTGAGTCTGGGCAGGAGGCAGTGGCCAAGCTGGGACACCACGCCTTATGAGGGATAATTGAGGCACCAAGGACTGGTTGACTGTGAGAAGTATGGAAAGGACATGATTAACTTTCTTCAAGTATTTGAAGGACTGCCATGTCAAGAGAAATTAGATCCACTTTGTGTGGTTATAGGGACAGAGTAAGCAGCACAGGTTGGCTGTTCCAGGAAGGCAAGATTTGGTTTAATGTAAGAGAGGTCTAACAGGACAGTCTGAAAATGGACTGGGTCCCTCTGCTCACAGTGCCTCCCCCTTCTCTCTACATCCCTGGGTATAGCAGGGGCCACATGCCATTTGGATGAAGAGGCATGGCCTGTGTGTGAAGGGAATTTATCATAAGGATTCAATTCGGAGACCTTTATAGCCACGAGGCCATGATCAGTTGACCATCTGACGATACCTAGTAGACTTCCCCAGGTGACATGCTGCAGAACTCCTGAGTAATAGTAATGTTCTCACCTTGAGTTTTTTTGTTTTGAGCACCTGTTTACGTACCTGGCACTGTGACTGGGTTCTTTCACATCCATGAGCCCATTTAATCCTCAGATTTACCCTCTAAAGAAAAGTTGTCACTGGGGCTGCCAAAGGTGTCACTGAAAGTTTCTGGAATCTGTGTTTCCTAAGCCTGAGACAGGAAAATTGAGGCCCGGCTTGTAATGGCGTGGCCTGGCCGAGTGTGAAAGCCTCCAGTTGCTCCAGCTCCTCGCCTGGGCACACCCTGTGCTTCCTGCCCCAGCCCAGGGGCCCTGTGGGAGGATTGCAGAGGCAGCATTTCTCCGGCAGTGGAAGCTCAGCTCCCAGCCTCCTGCCACTCATGGTCCAGTTGGGGCTTGACATGAACGACCTTGGGAAAGTCACCTCTAACAAGCGCTGGGAAGAGCTCGTAGAGACCCCGCATCTATCTCACCTACAGTCTGGTTCCTTGAAGCATCAATTACAGAAGTTCAGGGCCTATATAAACATTTGTCAGGAGTTGCCTACACCAAAATAGGCCGTGTGTGTGTGTGTGTGTGTGTGTGTGTGTGTGTGTGTATGTGTGTGTGTGGGGGGGGCTTCAATTTTTTTGAGTTGAATCGTTGAAAAGACTCGATATTAGAAATTAGTTCTGATCTGATTCTGAAGCCTTTAGCATGTACTGTTTTCTTGGATTCTAAGAGGGGAAATAAAATAAGTGAGAAGAAATGCTCTTTGATCATTACATAATATTTTTGTTTTTCTGCCTATATGCCTCTTGTTTTCTTGGATGTTTTAGGAGTAAATCTGTATTTGTCACACTCGGTTCACTTCTGAAAATAACGACCTATTACCCCAGAAATAGACTCACAACTTGAAAATGGCAGGATTCCAAATTACCCCAAAACGTGAGGTGCTGTGAACCATCTTGGGGGGTGGGAGGGAGATAGAGGTTATAATTACATTTATTTTAAAAGTGCCACTTAGTAAAATTAATTCTGATAACTGAAGCAAAATTAATGTAACAATTAGGACTAATCTATGTATTTTGCAATTGTTTATTTACCTACTTAGCACTTGGATTGAAGTTTTAGGTGGGATCTAAAAGGAGAAAACTTTCTCAAATCCACCAATATTTACAAATACTGTCACAAGATTTTTTTTCCTCCAGTCTTTTAAAAATCAGGGCCAAATTTCAGCTCCCTGCCCACTGCCCTTTGGTGGTATTTTTGTTTCTCTTTCGGTATCACCCTATTTCCTTTTATTTTTACCACTGACATTGGCTTATTTCATGTGTAATGTATTAAATACATATGCATTTAAAATATTGTTTTGATTTCTTTGTGAATTGTTTCTCTTAAAGGGCCTATTAGGGGAAGTGAGTAATTTCTCATATTCTGTTCTTTCAGGAAGAATTCTAAATCGTTTCTCCAAAGACATTGGACATATGGATGACTTGCTGCCCCTGACATTTCTAGATTTCATCCAGGTAACGTAACAGTAATGTCAAGTTCTCAGATACAAAAAAGAAATTCCTAATTTTTCAAGGCCTTCTCATAGGGGCTAAGGGTGGGCCTTTCAGCCTGGAGATGTGTCATGTTATCTTAATAAAAGGCCATGTTTGTCAAAGAAAGGTGTGGCGATGATTTGGAGGCTAAGTTAACATGAGTAATGCCCCGTGTGTAGGAGTGGCTACACAGTCATGCCGAGGTTGGTTCAAAGCAGCTACATGCTTGGTAAGTGGTTCTCCATCTGCCTTCCAGGTATCTGGCGCCAGGTTCACTTCACTATGAGCACATTTCATAATATAGAAACAATCACCTCTCACGGAAAGATAGCCTAGATTAACTAAATTATGCATTGTATTACCACAAAGGAAAAATATTTACTGCACCGTTTTGTTTTTTTTTGTGTGGATAAAACCAGGTGTGGTTACTTACAAAGAAAAGATTAGTAAGAATAAAGTGAAAATAATACTTTGTTAAACAAGGGCAGTAGAGAGCAGTTATTGCAGATGCAAAGCCTTTAAAGGCAAGTCCGATTAAGCCAATAATTTGAGTACAGGATCAAAGTCATCTCAGAAAATGTCTTTTTTGTTTTTCTAGGCAGCTTCTCTTTCACACGTAGATTGCTCTAAGTCTTAAGGTGTCTTTTTTAAGGAAAACCAACAATCCCACAGAAATACCTTCTGTAAAACATTTGCTTTGTCTGTGAACTTGAGGTTTTAAAGAATAATGTTGGGTCGTCTCATCTCTCATCTCCTCTTTCAGTGTTGTTGCTCATGTGGGATGTTTTTTCTGTTGTCTCATTCTGCCTCCTTTTCAATGATTCAAGCTGGGGGACTTTCTTCTTCATTTCCAAGTGTTTATTTTGGAAATGAAATGCATTAATCAGAGGCAGCACGTACTCTAAAATCGTGGCTGCTGTTGCTCATACTTGTGAATCTTTTTCACTTTCCCTAAGTGCCAGTGTACAGTAGTCTAATCATGAACCGGTTTGAAGGCCGGGAAGTAGAAGTGCCACAGTTGGGGTATGCAGTTATGGCTTGATCCTGATAGTCCCCTCTCCTTCTTGTCTCTTCTGGAGCCACTGTTATAAAAGGAGCCAGAATTACTTAATTTAAAAAATCAGCTATGTCAGAAAAATGAGTAGTAGGCCTGAGATGATTTCAAGCATTCCTGTTAGTCACACAGAAATGCAGCAATGACTGTCTGACTTCAAACAGCACTGCCCATGGGCAGGGGCATCTACTGTTTACCAACAGGAAGCAAGCTGAGACTCAGTCAGAGGACTTTATTGCAAACAGAGGTGTCTGATTTTTTTCCCTCTCTTCTGCATACTTACTTTATAAATGTGTCCTGCTGAGGTTAGCTATGTAATATATCCCCAAGAAGCAATCTTCCACCAAAACGGGGCCACGTTTTGATGTGATTGTTAATTACTTTGAGAAGATTGTATGAAAGGTTCCTTTTCTTTGCCACTGTAACACTAGGCCAAGGTTGAGTTTCCAAAGCTGGCTGGCCCGGGCTTAGCACATAATAGTTAGCTAAAATATGTCATACACAGGAATAGATGCTACCTGATTTCAGTATAAGACATTCTCAGCCTGCAGAGAGAAAATTCTAGTTTCACTGTGCTTTTCTTTAACCTGAGAGACAAGGATTTTTTAAAATTATTCGCTCACTTAATCTTGGTGAATCATATCATTGTTGAATACCAGTCGTCCCAATTAGCTGATGTCGTGAATCTAATAGCAAAGGTAAATCTCCATGTCATTGCCTCCAAGAAAGGAGCTTTGTATAAAGGATAACTCAGTTATCAATTATGATAAAGATCTGTTGTCACTGGTTTTGTTTGCAGGTGTCTTTAATAAGGCTTCCCATAATCCCTTCAGGAAGAAATATTTTCTTCTTTTAAAAATAGTATTAGCTAAATATAAAAGCTCTGATCCTTGCTATTGTTGTTGATTCTTTGAGGGACATTTCCCAACATTCATTGTTTAAATGGTTGTCAGGAGGAATCAAGTGAACCTGCATAAACAGTGCAGTAACTGGTTCATCTTACTTTGTGCACAGGCCTTTCTCCAGAGGATTTGCATTCAATGAGTGGACCTTTTACTGAGGTATCACAGGGATCATTTTGAAGTATTTGGGCCTGTTGCTTTATTAGCAAGCGAAGATTTTTATTAAGGCCACAAAAATGAATCTGACCTACCCTCAAATAAAGGCCAACAGAAATCAAAATGTAAATGGATTTTTTTGTTTTTTTAAAGTTGGATAGGACTCTGTAAGGACAGAAACAGCCCGGTGGTGTTCTGGGACTCTTAATGGAATCATGTAAACTTAAAATAAACACTATTATGGTAAGCACATAGAATGAAAACTAATTTTCCAAATCAAATACATTATATTCAATTCATTTTCCCCAATCAACCAAATGTTTAAAACCTGTTAGTTATAACAGCCATCTTCTGGAAATTAATTAGAAGCCTATTAGCTCTGCTAGCTGAGCCGAATGAAGAGTGTTGCGCGTTACATTTCTAAATAGGCTCCTGATTAAAGCAAAGCAAGGTCAAAATGACAATCAGTTTGACTCACCTCATGGCTGTGATTCAGAAGGTAATCTAGTTTGGGGTTTTGGGGGGAGAGGGTGTGTTAGTGTTTTAAAGGACATTTGATCTACTTTGACTCAATCCTCTAATAAATTTTAAAAGTTGAAGTCCTTGTCAGGTAAAACATGCAGGCATGAACACCAGCACCCTCCCAATTGCATGGGACTCGAGTGGAAATGACTTTAGGGCTCTTGTCCAGCTCATCATCCCTTCTAAAGAGTTTTGTTAGCCCCTTTCAGAACTGGGAGAGTAGAAAATTGCCTGTCTGCCTTTCAATGTCATTGGCAAAACCTGCTGCTGACATCAGGAGGCCTTCAGTTTTAATGTTTCTTATTAGATAAGTTGGGTAACCATCCTCATGACCAGCAGCTCCTCCTCTGCTCAGAGAAGATCACAGAATGTGAGTCCTAAACCTAACCTAGCAGCTGAGTTAATTGAGACGATTGAGTTTAAAAACAGCTGAGATTTTTAAAACAAACAAACAAAAAGCCTGCCTGGGTGTGGCTCAGCTGTTGAGCATCAACCTAGGGTCCAGGAGATTGTGGTTCAATTCCCGGTCAGGGCACATGCCCAGGTTGCGGGCTCGATCCCCAGTTGGGGGCGTGCAGGAGGCAGCCCATTAATGACTCTCTTTCATCATTGATGTTTCTATCTCTCTCTCCCGTCCCTTCCACTTTCTGAAATCAATAAAGATATATTTAAAAATAATAAATAAATAAATATATAAATGAAATAAAAACAGCTGGAGATTATTCCCTTGTGAAGAAGTTACCCTTGGTGTTCTCTTGCACAGGAAGTGATCCTTACCTAGCTATGTATCTAGCACTTAAGCCAGAAAGAGTGTGGCAGGATTTATAGCAATAAATAGGAAGCAAACCGAAATCCAGAGCTTGGATACCTTCATGTATAGGGAGTTAATCTCTCTACTTATCAGAATGTTCAAACTACAGCTGTCCTGTTGAATGGTTTTTTTCTTCCTAAAGCTATGCATAGGCTCATGCTTTTCTGGAGAATTAGAATCAGATAGATACAGAACTAATGTAATTGCACCCACTCTTGTGGACTTTTTAATCCAGAGCACACACTCTATTCCTTTTTCCGTAAGACTGGTGCTTTTTGTGGTTTTGTAAGTAAGAGTTCAGAAGTGTGGACCACTGGATTAGAACAGCGTTGTGTTTAGAACTTCTAATGCCGGGGAATTGCGGAGAGAGACACAACCCTCCAATTTGCTCCATGATCGCTGGAGTTGGTGTACTCTGTAGGAGCAAGTCACACATCAGCAAACGATTTTATTACTCCACAGACAGAATGACTGAGGTAAGAAAATTCTCTTTCACATGTGAGCAGAGGTGGTGGTCAGATAAAGGTTATATTAACCTAACTTCGCCCCTTGGACTTCAACAAAAGATTCCCATTTGTGTGGCTCTCATGGGTTTTGTTTATCTTTTGTTTTGTTTTGTTTTGTTTGGGATAGTTATTTATTTATATCACAGCTTATTTTGAAAACTGGTATCATTTACTCTTATCCTGTGTTCAGTGAGGAAGCTGCAAGAACAGTGGAGTTAATGTGTGGGGTTTTGCAGCTGCATTGATACAGATGTGGTGAATGAAGAAAAACAATTTTTGACCTACAAAGCATTTTGGAAGGGTAGGGAAGTTTTTGAGTATATCATAGGAAAGAAATAATTTATACAATACAAAATAACAACAGTCTGCAGGTTACCTCAGGGTTGCTCTGGGCTTATCAGATAAGTTAGCTGATAGCTGGCAGTACACATCTGCCTTATCAAAGTGTTGTTCAAACATGTTTTGTTTGTTTGCGTTTTCAAAAATCATAACAGCTTTGAGTATTATTTTTTTAAAAATCAAGTCATTTAAGCTAAAACATACATAGTTCTTCGCGCGTTAAAACTTAGTATCTTTATGAAAATAGGGATTAAAATACAAATAGTATATAGATAGTATAGCTAGAACTCAGCCATGAGATAATGCAGACGGGGAATTCTTTGACTAGGACTTTGGCCTTCCAACCACAGTGTAGTTGAGTAAACAAACAAACAAAAACATATAGGCAGTAATTAAAATTTGCATTTTTAGGTGTTTGATTTACCACCATAGCACAAAATACAGCAGCATAAATCCATTCTTTGGTTTTTAAAAAACAGTGATTGATTTAATTTAATAAATGTGCCATGCATATGTAATATTTGTTTTCAATTTAGTTTTATTAATTAAAATTAATTTCCTGATTAATAATTTTAATAATGCAGGTATATTTGTAATATTTGATGGGCAGGTGTTGTTTTGTGAATATATTTGCAACTAGACAATACAATGGGAAATCTTGACATTTTTCCCAAAAGGAAAACAATATTTCT